GGGTGGGGGTGCAGAGAGTGGGAGGGGGCTGAGAGAGGGAAGAATCAGAGAGCTGAGGGCTGGGGGGGAGGGGAAAGCGGGAGGGGCTCCCAGAGCTGAGAGGGGGGCAGGACTGAGAGCAAGATGGTGTTGGGGGGCAGAGGGGCTAGGCGCCACCTGCTGTGGGGCAAAAATAGGGGTGAGGGGCTCCTCCCACCCCCTAGAATCCCAGGCATGGCACTGGCCAGACCTGACAGTTCCTTCCTCGCTGTCTCTGATTCACTGTTTTCAGCTGCTAAAGGAGCCTGGATGCAGTAAAGCACTTTACACAGCCCCTGAAAGTATCACAGCCAGCACTTTGAGTCCCTCTCGGTGTCTGAGTCTGCAACGAGCCCATTCACCACTTGGCCTTAAGTGGTGTTCTCGTGCCAGACTTGGCCCGCAATAATTCTTCTCAGATAGAGTTTCACTCCTTTAAATTATTTACTGTAGAGAATGTTGGGTTTATGGCTCTTAGCGCTGCATCATTTACCTTGGTTAATAGTGTGTGGCTGGAGGTCATTGTGCTATTTAGTTGACATCTGCAAATAATCACTGAAAATATTAATAATTGCTATGAGCTGCAGCAGTCACATTATAGTGTTGCTGCTCTAGCACTTCATATTTGTACTGGAATGCTTGTTTTTAATTCTAAATTTTTGTTCTTTTTTATGTTCAAATTTATTCTCTAGGGTCACGTGATATCAGGGCAAAGTGATTTCCTAGTTTTCTGTCAAAACTTTTTCAGTTTCCTTCAATCCAATAATGGGGATTGCCTTTATCAAGTGTTGGATGGAGAGGCAAAACTACATCCTACTGCTTTTTCATATGTCACCACTTGTGTTTAGAACTTGGCTTCCAAATATTTACCACAGGCCATAATTTTAAAGGTGGAAAGCACCTGTATACTTTTGAAAATCCTACTGGTTGTCTAAATACCTTTTAAAATCTAACTCAAAGGACACTATATTATCTTGTATGAAATCCTTCTCAAAGGCAAATTTCGACTGTAGTTTGTACTAAATGCAAGTATTCAACCTCAAGATAGATTGACACTCACAACATTTCAAAAAATCATGAATTATACACCCAAAAGTTATTACATCTTTTTGAGGAGCTTCAAAAAGATCTCACCAAACTAAGTGATTGGGCAACAAAATGGCAAATAAAAATTAATGTTGATAAATGTAAAGTAATGCACATTGGAAAAAATATTCCGAATTATACATACAATATGATGAGGGCTAATTTACCTACAACTAATCAGGAAAGATATCTTGGAGTTATCGTGGATATTTCTCTGAAAATGCACTATACGGTCAAAAAAGCACATAGGATGCTAGTAATTATTTAAAAAGGGATAAAAAATAAGATGAAAAATATCTTAATGCCCCTATATAAAACTTCTATACACAGTGTTCAAGATGTAGGCGTACTATATGTGGTCTCCTCACCTCAAAAAAGATACTGTACTTTGGCATTAGAAAAGGTTCAGAAAAGGGCAACTACAATGATTAGGGGTTTGGAGCACGTCCCATATGAAGAGAGGCTAAAGAGACTAGGACTTTTCAGCTTAGAAAGGAGGAGACTGAGGGGGATATGACAGAGGTCTATAAAATCATGAGTGGTGGGAGACCCGGTAGTGTAGACGCAGGTATAGTTTTGTCGACAAAAGTCCACTTTTGTCGACAAAACTCTGTAGTCTAGACACACCCTTTATAAAACCATGGTACACCCACATCTTGAATACTGTGTACAGATGTCACCTCAGCTCAAAAAAGATATATTGGCATTGGAAAAGGTTCAGAAAAAGACAACAGAAATGATTAGGGGCTTGGAATGGGTTCCATATCGAGAGAGATTAAAGAGACTGGGACTTTTCAGCTTAGAAAAGAGGAAACTAAGGGAAGAGATGGTAGAGATCTATACAATCATGACAGGTGTGGAGAAAGTGAATAAGGAAAAGTTATTTACTTGTTCCCATAACATAAGAACTAGGAGTCACCAAATGAAATCTATAGGAAGCAGGCTTAAAACAAAAGGAAGTTTTTCTTCATGCAATGCACAGTCAGCCTGTGGAACTCCTTGCCAGAGGATGTTGTGAAGACCAGGACTTCCATAGGGTTCAAAAAAGAACTAGATAAATTCATGAAGATTACGTCCATCAGTGGCTATTAGCCAGGATGGGTGGGAATGGTGTCTCTAGCTTCTGTCTGTCAGAGGCTGGAAATGGATGACAGGAGAGAGATTACCTGATGATTACCTGTTCTGTTCACTCCCTCTGGGGCATCAGGCATTGGTCACTGTCGGAAGACAGGATACTGGGCTACATGGACCTTTGGTCTGACCCAGTGTGGCCATTCTTCTGTTCTTATATTAAAAGAACAGAATACATAAATGAAATACATATTAAAATACATAAATGTAAGAATCCCATATACTTAATTTTCTTTTTTGTTTCTGAGTTTCATGCTTTTGCTCACCCAAAGAATTCACATACCTAATGCAATTGTACATTCCTATTATAATTCTGTATGGTTCTATTACTTCACTTGTTGCATATAGAAACCTTGATTCGTCTACTGAATTTATATTTCTGACTGCATGTTTTAACTTCATATTTTGTTATGACACTTTATGGTGATATTATTCATTCTTACAAGGTTAATGTTCTGTACTGCCAAAATCAAGGATTTTTTGAGACAAATTACTGGTTACTCCTTTGCATTGGTTGGGTGGGGGCATGTCACTCTGTCTGGAATAGTTCATGTCTAAGTGCCTTTCTCATGGCAGACTGTCAAAAGCAGAGCAGACATCCCAGATGGTGAGGTATGTTTTCTATAATTAGATTCCACCAAACCAGTGACAAATGTGAAATCCATGATCACTGTAACGGGCTTAACCTGGAGTCACAGACAGTCCTTTTAGACTCCCCTGCCCCATCTGTCTGGCTTTGAAAAATGGTCACTTACACAAAAAATTACAAATATTCCAGATTATGGGCACAATCCCAAAAGACAAGTTTTAGCCAGGTCAAGTTGCATTCTAGATCTTACATCAAAGACAACCCTCCTAGCCAGTTCTGTAGTAAACTAGCTAAAGCTTTATTAGCTAAAAACATAACTGAGTTATTGAGCAGTTAAAACTGGTAAAATACATTTACAGGTGAGTCACAATCTATAATAATTCCAAATGGTACCAGAGATGTAGTAATTTGCCAGTTTTCCAAAAGTTTTGGCAGGCTACCCAGGATAACTGGGGAGCTCAGTCTTCTCATTCAGTTACTCTGATCTTTGGGACTCCAAACAGTCCACAAATGTGGGATCTTTCCCTGAATTTACATTTTATAGTTTCTTATCGCAGAAAACAAGCTGACATGTGGGCTCTTCCTTTGGAGAGCTTAGAGTCTTTGATAGCTGCTTATCACACACAGTGACTGCTTGCTTTCAAATGCACACAAATTAGCACTTTGCTGTTAAAGTTCTTCATGTACATTCCACAAGGCTGTTCCTTGTGTGATGGATTATTTAGATATGGGGTTATAAATATGTAAATGTTTGCCGTAATATAATAACAGGATACAGATAAGTGGAAAACAATGGAAATAACATCCAATTAGTTTTAATGACATTTAAATACCCAATACACTCTTAGGGCATGTCTACACTAGGAAATTATTTCAAAATAACTTATTTTGAAATAATAACTTCTGAAATCACTATTTTGAAATAGCATGTCCACACTACAGGGAAGCCTTGAAATTAATCTGAGGCAGGCTCCCTTAATGTGGATGCACTACCTCAAGTTAAAGCCCCAGGAAGCACTAGGGAGTAATTACTTTGAATGCCTCTGGGGAGTAGTTATTTTGAAATAGCAGCAGTGGAGCATCCTTGCTACCATAGTCTTTAAAGTGCTACATAGTCCTGTTTTTTATTTCAAAATAAGCGTTATTCCTCCTGGAAAGCAGGAGTTAGTATTTCAAAATAACCAGTCCTTTCTTTCAAAATAACAGGCTTAGATGCTCTGCCTGTTATTTCAAAACAAGGAGAGTTATTTCGAAATAACTCCCTACTGTAGACTAAGGATGTTAAAGACTAGTTGACTATCCAATAAGCATTTGCTTATCAGATAGTAATGTCAACTAGTCAATCCCCCCACCCCTTGCTGCCTCTATGAACTAGAGGGAGCAAGGGGGGGGAAGGGGTACTTCAAAGTGGCAGCACTGCTTTGAAACCCCAAGGCAGCAGCTGCACAGAACAGAATGGCTGTTTTTACAGCAGAATGGGTAATGTGTGTTAGTTACCCCCTAGTAAAAACACATGTTTTCTTAGCACAGAAGACACAGACTGTACTGCTGACTCAGATGTAAAATTAACCGTTATTATTCATAGCTTGACAACTCTGACACACCGATTGTTTGGTAACAGTTTCCTCACCAGCAGAAGAATTTGCATCTGAACGTCTGCAGCCCCCAGTTTGTATGGGTGTGCTGGGAAACCAGTTAAAACGTTTTAAATGAAGGGAATTAATAAAGACTTTTCCCTTAATTTCCCTTATCTCTGTCCCTTATTAAGGGCTGGTCTGCATGACCTGGATCTAAAAATGTGACGTTAATGCACATAAGCTACAATGTCTTAAACCGGGGTGGATAACCTGAGGGCCAAATCTGGCTGCTGCTTCACTTCATCTGGTTTGCGGCAAGTCTTCACGCTAGAGACCAGAAACCCAGAGCCTAGGTGTGTCCCCCTTCCCCCACAGCGCTGAAGCTGTGTCCCTGTAGCCCCTAAGTGGAGGGGTGATCAGGGAAGCTCTGCATGCAGCCCCCAGCACCATCTTTGCAGCTCCCTTCAGCCAGGAACCATCACCAACTGGCACTACAGGGGTGGCATCTGTAGGGATGAGCAATGCACTCTGCAGAGCTGCCTGTCCCTTCCACCTAGGAGCTGGCCGCTTCCGAGAGCCTGCCTTAGCCAGCTGCGCTGCCAGCCAGAAGCAGCCTGAAGGAAGCACCATCCTGCCCCAGGTCAGAATCTCTTCCCGAAGCCTAACTCCCTCACAGATCCTGCACCCCCACCCACCCAAACTCCCTCCTGGAGCCCAAACCTCCTCCAACACTCCTTGGTCCCACCCTGGAGCCCACACCCCAGCTGGAGCCTGCACCCCAACCCTCTGTCCCAGCCCTGAGATGCTCCAGTAATTCCAACCCTATGGTCCAGCCCAGAGCCCCCTCCTGCAGCACCCCAAGCCCCTCACCTCACAGCACCATCTGAAGCTTTCACTCCCTCCCGCAGCCTTACCCCCTGCCCCAACCCACATCCTGAACCCCTCATTTCTGGCTTCACCCCAGAAGCTAGGGGGAATCCTGAGCCTCCATGCACTCCGTCCCATGAGGCTGTGTGCGCTCCCTCCCCCCATTATTTTTTTCTCTGGGGGAGTGTCCCCTGATAGATAAAGAGTCCCCCATCCCTGCTATAACCCATCATGTGAATGTTTTGTTGTAAGTACAGTGGCTTCGGTTTTGACTGTAGCAGTCAAAGCAGTCATAGAAGAGTGTGGGAGTCCTTCCCCTGCCCCAGAACACTATTAAATCTCCAGATGTTTGGCTTGAGTGAAACCCTTTTGAAGCCTTTTATTGTCCATGTGTATCCCCCGTTTGATGTTTTGTGTCCAAAGGGAAAGTGCAAAGCAGTGGAGCGCTCCTCTGAACTTTCTGGAACGTTGCCCTAGGTAGAATGCCCTTGGCCATTTTGTACAGATATCAATTTTGGCCTGACAGTTTCAGAAAAAATTACAATTAAAGATGATCTCGTGCCTTCTGTCTATGCGGTGCTGGTCAGGACGTGTTTCCTGAGCAGAACGGAGGCCTGATAGTGTCTTGGTAGATTCTGCTGTGCACTGAGTTGGCATAATGTGCGACATAGTGAAACCCCGTATAAAAAATGCATGTAAAATAGAAATGTAAAAGGTTAACTGTTAAGGGTGAGGCTTATAGATTCAGGTTAACCAGTAGAAGCTAGAGCAGCTCTCTGCCTGCCCCGGATAGGGGGCTCCTCCAGCTACGCAGGACCCCCCGGAGCAGCCCCTGCCTGTGGTGGGCCTGGCCACTTCCTTCTCCCCTCTGCAGGTTACATTCTGGCTTCCCATGAGTTGGCTGCCAGAGCAGTCCTGCTCCTGGGGAGGCTTTGCAGCAGGCTCTGCAGCACAAAGCTTGTTTAAGCTTTATACTACAGCATCTGCAGCTGTGACTGCTATGATTTTTAACCTTTACTTGGTTACGTTTTTAAACGCATTTTTACATCCCTAGTGTAAAGTGGTGGCACTTTTGTCCCACTAGAATTAACAAAATGATCTGTGTTTTTGGTGCTTTAACTGTAAAGATTCCTCTTTGACCTTTCCCTGATCGCTAGTCACACCTGATAGAAACCCTTTTTTTCCCCCACCAACTATGAGCTCCCAGGAAAATGTAACCTACAAACATAGCATTGGCTGTAGTATCTTTCTTCCATCCTGATGATAATATTAATGAGTCCACGACGGTGATATCCTCAAAGGTGTGAGGACACTATCTAATAGGTGCAACACAAATATTTTTAGATTGCTGTGTTTCAGTCCATATGCAGTTTGCAGGGCTGAACACCTGGCCCGACACAGGGTACAGCAGTTACTAGACAGGCTCTGTGGTTTTTTTCTGAGCTGTGTGGGATGTTTTCATTGTAGGCAAACCACGTGGTGGGCCAGTCCCTATTTATTCACCTTGTCACTGAGCCAGTCAGAACTCCAGGGGGAGAAATGTTATAGATATATCTGCGGAAGGGGCCCTGTGATATCGGAGGCTGGTCAATGCAAGAACAGGCACAAGTCAGCTGGGAGGGATGGTTTTGTTGACAACTCTGAAAAACATTTTGCAAAGGAGTTTTTTTATGAAGTGGTGAAGGTGCTGCATATTAGGGACCTGAAGTGCAGGGCTGGAAGAGACCCTGAGAAATTATCTGGTCTGGGTCCCAGTGCTGAGATAGGACAACATAAATCTAGACCACACCCCTGACTAGTGTTTGTCTAATCTGTTCTTGAAAACCCCCAATGATGGGGATTCCACAACCTCCATTGGAAGCCAGTTCCAGAACTGACGCATCCTTGTAGGTGGAAAGTTTTTTCTAATATTTAATTTAAATCTCCCTTGTTGCAGACTAAGCCCATTCCTTCTTGTGCTGCCTTCAGTGGCCGTGGAGAACAATTGTCCACCATCCTCTCCATTTATAACAATCCTT